CTGCTAGACACTAGCACATTTAACAGTTGGAGACAAATAGCTATTATCACTTTACTAAGCGCTCATTCATTTTTCACTCGACAGTTAGTCCAAATGGTTCAAATGACTTCCCCAGGTCGGACAGCTGGTCTCTTGATTCCCAGTCCAGTGCTTGGCCACAGTAGCACCTGCTCCCTTTGACATTTTTTAACATTATTGCCTACGTAAGGCCACTGTTAAAATGAGCTCTGGCCCCAGAGGCCTTTTTCATGAACATATCAGAGAGTATGTCAGCAGTCGCAAGTCCTGGAAGATAGGGCCTGCCTGAGAAGTGCTGCCTTATTTCAAGAAGTAATCATAATAGAAACCTGATCAGGACACCTGATGTCACATAGGATTTGAGTGCTGCTTCTTGGGTAGACAGAGCATTTCAAAGTAAACTTTGTACATCAAAATAGTGGACTTGGGGAACATTTTAATGGCTGGTAGGAATAATGAAACAAAGTATATGGATTAAGAGAGTCCCAGGAGAACTGGAATACTTGGGCACTGTGTTAGAGTAATCTGAAATGGGGGCGGAGATGGCATACTAGAGTTTAGTAATTAAGCATGCACTCTGGAGTTCAGCAGATATGTGTTAAAACCTTGCTCTGCTATTGATGGGCTGTAAAATGCTAGGCTGCAGAAGAAAATAAGGTAGATAATCTCATGAACCCTGAACAGAGCAAGAGACTGCTGTTGTTGATATAGTAAAGAGGCCAGTCACAATCCTTCATTTGAAAAGTTCCACCTTTGCCCTGGTTGGTGTGGCTCAGTGGATTGAGTGCTGGCCTGAGAATCAAACAGTCTCATTCCCAAATTGCTGGTTGGATTCCTGGTCAGGCACTTGCCTGAGTTGCAGGCCAAGTCCCCAGTAGGAGGCGCTTGAGAGGAAACCACACACTGATGTTTTTCTCCCTCTCTGTCTCCCTCCCATCCCCTCCTAAAAATAAATAAATAAAATCTTTTAAAAAAATAAAAGTTTCACCTTCCCCCTCATGCCCTGACCAGGGTGACCAGTGTGTGTGTCTCAGTGGGTTGGGCATCATCCTGCAAAGCAAAGGGTTGCCAGTTCAGTTCCCAGTTGGGGCACATGACTGGATTGCAGGCCAGGTCCTTGGCTGGGGGCATGTAAGAGGTAACCAGTGGATATTTTTCTTCCTCTCTGTCTCCCTCTTTGCCCATCTTTCTAAACAAAGCAGGGGAAAGAAAAGTTTCACCACCTGTATCATATTCAAAACAATCCCTGGCTCACACACTCTAATAAAGAAAACTATTGGAAGCAGGGACCCCTTTCTCTGGCTTAGCTTCTTTGAAATTCACAGCTAGTATGTGATAGCAGTTGGATGTTAGATTCCTCAAGACTATGTTTCTAAGCTTCCAATGCCCTTTAATTGCTCTTACTAGTGTGAGTTTCATGAATTAAGGCTGCCACCTCCATGCAGATGGATCTACACTGGAGAAGTGGCATAATTTTTTTTTTAATTTTAAGTAGGCTCTGAAATCCTTCTATCTGAATTTAAATGCATGCTCATAATTTATAAACTGCATGACCTTGGGTGAGTAAATTCATTCTTCTAAGCTTCAATTTCCTTATCTGTAAAATGGGTATGATAATAATAGCACCCACTTTTATAGGTTGTATTGGCATTTAAATGAGATAATGTATATAAAGCACTCAGTACACTGCCTGGCACATAGCAAACATTTAAACAATATGAGCTATAACCTATTTTTAAAGCAGTTCTTTTTTTTTAGGATTTTATTTATTTATCTTTAGAGGGGAAGGGGGAAAGGAGAGAGGGAGAGAAACATTAATGTATGGTTGCCTTTTGTGCGTCCCCTGCTGGGAACTGGCCTGCAACCCAGGCATGTGCCCTGACTGGGAATCGAACCTCGATCATGTGGTTCGCAGGCCCGAGCTCAATCCACTGAGCTACACCAGCCAGGGTTAAAGCACTTCTTTTGAGAGAGTTGGCTTTCATTACTGACAGTTTGCTTGAAAAGTATGTATCGGGGCTCTGCTTGCCTATGGCGATAAGTCAGGCTGCTGTATAGTTAGGAGACCACTGGCTTCTTAAAAGCTCTGGCCACAGCTGGAGGCCAGATGAACCCATGCCCTTATCTGAGGAGCAATGCGAGGCTGGAGTAGCTGGGGATAAACCTTGTAAGCCTCTGCATGGCCCTCCTGGTCTCAGGAGCCTGCCACCACGACACACTGGCCACCTTACTTGGCATCATCTAGCTTGCTGACCTAAAGGATATGGCCTGGGAACTTGACTTACAGACTACCAGGGCATACTACCATCATGCTATGATGTTTATAGTACAGGTATTATCCCTATTTTATGGATTAATATACTGGTATTCAAAGTGATTAGGGGACTTACCATTACCAAAACAGGAATCATTTTGGGGCTTGAACCCAAATTATTGATTCTAATTCGACATACACTTTCAAGCTATATGTACTTTTTGCAGTATTCTAATCAGAAATATGGATTATGATATCTTGAACCATCAGTGATAATAATAACACCAAGAGCATTTGGCTCTCAGAGAAAAAAACTATAATCTCACCACTAATGATATATATTACATATATTCATGAATATGTATAGTTGTGTGTGTGTGGTTGTATTAGCAGAAATTTTGATAAATTCACACTTTTCTACCTATGACTCCTTGATTTCAAGGGTTTGCCAGGATTTGGAATTTAGTCTGTAGCCCTGAAAGAGTAACTGTGACTGCCCTGCCCATCGAGTTAACCTGTGAGGTGTGTCCCAGTCAGCTTCTGGGTCCCTACGTCACCTGGAGAGTGCACTCCGGAAAAGCCTCCCTCGTCATTATTCAGACTGCCACATGCCTTGACTTCCTATGCTGTATAAGGAACGGTTAGAATTACATGGTCTCCAAAATCTCTTCACTCCATGATTCTATTAATTCTTTCTGTGCAGTTTTTTACTCTTTGGCGGGACATTCACTGTAGCTTCTACAGCTCAGATGGTCTGCCTGGGTACATAATGGTAGTTGGTTTTGCAGCCAGTAGGACATTCACGTGACTATTTTACCCTCGGCTTTTTTTTTTTTTTTTCATTTTTACACCTTTTTGCTGCCAATTTTCCAGGCGTCCAGGACATAATACATACAATGAATCTGACAGAGAAAATTTTGGGAGAAGAGAAAAGTTAGGTTTCTGTTTCAGTAGTTCAGAATTACATGATGAGTTGAGGGAAGAAAAAGATAAGGGGAGAAGAAACTCAAGATGATTACAAAGATTCATGTCTAGGAAAAAAGGGAAATGGTAGGGCCAACAAAGCCTAGTGAGTTTGAACTGATGATAGTGGTATGTGCAAGTGGAGGTGAGGGCTGCTGAAAAAAGTCGGCCTCAGAACCCAGGCGAGTCATGAAGCCTTGAGACAGAGGAGAGGTGAGCTTTCTGAAGAGGAGCAAGGTAAAAGAAGAACAAGGACAGCCCAGAATTAGGCACAGGAGTCAAAGGGTCATTACGGTCCAACACACTTATGGTACTTAAACGTTAACCTATAAACCCACTCTATCCAGTTCCTGGGGCGGTCTTGGAAACATGGGAGCAATAACAGAAAGTCTCCCCTCACCCACAAAGGAATTTGAAGGTAGAGTGTGGAGGAGCCAGAATGAGAGAATGTAAAATACCTTGGCTCACTATCTCATTTAACAAAGATAAGAATTCTGGGCCTCTACCCACCCACCAAACTGTAGCCTAATCCCTGGATTGCCACGATTTCCCAGTCTGTATGAATGGTTTCTGCCTCAATTTCTGACTCTCACTGTACTTCCTTTCTGGGCTCAAAATCCTACCCTGAATCTCAGTGCACTTGGTTAGGGCCCTGATAGGACTGTGTCAGGTCCCTCTCAACCAAGAGTGGACCACTGACCAGGGTCCTTTTTTAAAATGTTTTTCAGGTTTTAAACTATTTTATTTGCATATTTAAAAACTATGCATTGCAAAAATTAAAATCATTTTAACAAAAAATAGCACTCTGATTAAACTGCATATTACAGCCTGCAGGACACCTTGGACCAGCTTGGTTTTTACTAGAGATTTCACTGTTGCCCACCCAGCTTCTTCCTCCACCAACATGCAAGTTCTGTTCCTTCCCTGCCGGCCAGAGAGCCAGATGGGAGCCGCAGGTATGACCTATATTGTCAATAGTTTTCTGATGTGAAAAGGGAAGCACAGTCATTGAAACTGATTTAACCTCTTTGCATCTTACAAAGTCAAATAGCTAAAAGAAGTGAAATAAGAAGGAACGCTTGTGGAATGTATAGCACATATAGGCAGTGCGGGCCACATTATGATTCACCTGCTCGCTTCTCCTGTTCAATCATTTCTTTGGAAGGCAGTGGATTTTCCTCTTGTGTTTCTGCCTTCAAGTTTGGTTTATTGAATTTCTTAGTCTCAGCCATATCGAATTTGTCAGGCATAGTTGTGGAGGAAGTGGAGTGAGGTGCGATGCACGAGAGGCATCTGATTTTGCTCAGTGACCACCTCTGAGTCGACCAGCGTCCTTTTTCAAATCAGGGACCTCCTCCTCTCTTCTCACTCCATCCTCAACTTTAAAACTAAGTAACAAAAGCCAGAGACCTCTACAGCTAACTGCTCCCGTCACACCCTTGGCTGTTAGCTCCACCTGGGATGGAGCCATGTCCTCTTGGACATTATGATTTGGCTTTCTGTCACCTCCTTGGGTTGGAGGAGTAAGGACAGTGTGCCATACCTGGAGCCAGAGGAGGAGAAGTTTTTAGAGTAAGGGCCAGTTTTCAAGCCAGTCAGTTCCTGCAGAAAGATGGAGAATGAAAATGGCCTTAGAACATTTGATTTGGTGGGAAGTAGGTCACAGTAACATTGAGAGAGGATGGCTTCAATTGTGTGGTGGAGATAGAAGTCAAATTACAAGGAATTTTAAGTGCTTATTATAATAAAGAAACTTAGACAAGAATGACTCAATCATGGGGAAACTTTTATTTAAGCCCATTTTTGTGTACAGATCACAAAAGAAAGTGTTCACAGTTCACTCTCAAGACTCAATTCTTATAGTTTCTTGATGCTTCCAATTTCTTTCTTCCCCGTCTTTTTCAATCTTTCTTCTTTTCTCTTATATACCTTAATTACCCCTCCTCATGTTCAACTATGTTCCAAAACAGAATTAGGGAAAAAACCTTAATAAAATAAGGACACAAAAAATATTTTTTCCAAGTATCTCTGGGGCCAGTATTAAGAAAGATACAATAGAGGTTCCTGTATCTCACCCTTAAGAGTGTGAGAATCTTAATAAACAATGATAAGAGAAGATTGATCTATGCAAATATTTTGTCTTTCTTTGCCCTAAGCTGCTTAAGGGTCAGAAATGGAAATACCAAAGATTTAGGGGAACTGTGAAGGAGGGCATATACAATCATTAAGTGAAAGCCATTGTCTTCAAAAAGCCTCCAGAGAAGAGAGTAGGTTGGCCACAACAGCAGAATTCTCTGAAGAACCACTGGAATTTTGACTTCCCCTTTGCTATGGAGACACAGGGCACTACATTCCCCATTTGCTTCCTTTCTCTGACAGGAATGCCTTCCTCCTTCTCTGACTGGCAAGTCGGATAGCCTTCAGTATCCAGTACACCCATCTGATACTGATGTCTTCCATAACAGAAGCCTTCTCTGGGCACAGTTTACTCCTTCACTTCCGTCCTCGGGGCCCTCGCAGCACTGACTACAGTACAATATGTATGAGAAGTAGGAGGTATGAGGCAGTTTATGCGTTCTAAAGCACTTCTGAGTTCACTGAAAAACTTGTTTGTGTATAAGTCTGTCTGCTGGTCAGGAGCTCTCTGGCTTTTGCATCCTTAGTGTCTCATATAGTGCCTGGCACTATATGCCTGGCACAGTAAGAAATTAGTAAGTGTGAGGGAGAAATGAGGAGAGAAAAGAAAGAAGAAAAAAAGGAAGAGCAGGGTGGAGAAAGTGACAGAGGAAGCTGAGTCAGAGAACACTGACTCAGTGTTCCCTGGCCAAGAAAAAGGGAAATCGATTCAGAAAAAGCCTGGAGGAAAGGCACAGAAAGGAGGAAAACTAACTTTCCAGGTCCTCTCTGCCTCTCTTCTTCCTACCACTTCTTCCCATAACCTTACACAACTGTCCTCTTTTCACTCCTAATCCCTCCATTCACCCCAGAGGGAAGGAAAGAAGCTAGACAGGCTTCCGACTTCTTCCACCCCATCCCCTCCGGCTTCATATCATCCTTCTTCTACCACGGCACCTCCCACTTTGGCTCTGTCCTCCTCATCTTCCCCACGGGCAGCACTCCCACCTCATCACCCTGCCATCTCAGGGCCCTGTGCTGTGCCAGGTCCAGGTGGGGACTAGGGCCTCAGACTGAAAACCAAGAGGCTCTTAGGGGCATCCTGTGGTGTCTGGGCTGTTGAAACACTAGTCTGGACCTACAAGTTACCTGAGAAAGAATATCGTCAAGAGTGTTCAGGTGTCCAAGGGACTGGAGGGTAGAGAGGAGCAAAGCCTGGGAAAAGGAAGGGCTCAACAATTACATTCCTCCCTTCCGACTCCTCAGACTCATTCATGGACGGCCTTTTCACACTTTTCTCCTTGATTCATGGGTCAGAATCATCATTTGTCCAGCTGTCTTCTCATGGCTCCAATACCTTGGCTACTGGAGCTTCTTAACTGTCTTCCCAGTCAGATGTACTTTTCCCACTAAGAATAGTACTGGGGACCCTAAATCTTGAAGAGTTGCTCCTGGGTCTCCTCTCCTTGTCTAACTATGCAACTGCTCCCCTTTCTCAATGCCCTTTTCCCAGGAATTCTGGAGCCATCTTTTCTTCCATGGAGATCATATATTCAAAAGCAGTTTGAGTTGTAAAGCATTGTACTAAAATAAAATATGTACTATCATGAATAAAGCCTTCTTTCTCCCCACCCCCATCATCTCTGTCCTCTCTCATGATGTGTCTTCTCCTTTCCTCCCCCATCCACTGCTGCTGCTCTCCACCTCACCCAGCAGGTTTGGTTTGGTGCCGTGTGGGACCTAAAGCTACGTGCTGCACGATGGGCCGTGTCAGGATGCAGGCAGACATCTCAGACCGAGGCCTTGGCAGAGTTCCCAGGCAGAGCCATCGGCCCAGGCCAGGACAGTAAGCATGGACAAAGTAAGAGAGGGCATAAGTAAGGTGGCTATAGCCCCCCAGCACCAGGAACTCCCCCTGCAGCACGGCGCCTGCAGCTCCCACATGTGGGGAGGGCAGGGGTGCCAAGTGGGTCCAGCTATCAGTCTTTGGTTCGTAGGCCTCAAAGCTCAGCAGGTCGCCAGTCTCACCTAGCCCACCTGCAACATATAACCGCCCACCCAGAGCAGCCATGACATGGCCAGCTCGAGGTATGCCCATAGGGCTTAGAAGTGTCCCTGGCTTCTCAAGTTTGGGATCATACTGCAGCAATGAGGCCAGGAATTGGCCAGCCCCATTGCAGCCACCGCTTATGTACAATCGGCCCTCCAAAATAGCTGCTGCATGGGCAAAGCGTGGTGCTGGAAGTGCAGGTGCTGGCCTAAGGGAGAACAAAGCACATGATCAGGCAAGTCATCCTCAATTCTCCTCTTCCAAGTCTCCTAGTTTTTCCCTGATGCCTAGAACCGCAACCCCTTCCCTGCTTACCTCCAGACATTGAGCTTAGGGTTATAAGTCTCCACAGAGTTTAGGACGACACCATGGGCTCGTCCACCCAGGGCGTACAGTAGTCCATCCAGTGCCACCAGAGGGAAAAAACTCCGAGCCTGGTACAAAGGTGCCACCTCCTCCCAGTCCTCTTGACTGGGGTCCCACCTGTACACAGTGTGACAAGAGATGGGAAGAGTGACTCTGAGAGTCTGTGGTTGGCTGGGCTCATCTGCCCACCTTGGGGATCTACCTGTCTTGTTGGAGGGGGGCATACCTGAGAGTCGAAGCCAAGGTGTTGAAGTCGCTGTAGTAATCCTGTCCCCCACACACATAGATTTCATTTCCTGCTAGGCTCGTGGCCCCATGCCGGAAGCGCCCTGGGGCAGGTAGAGCAGGCAACTGCCCCCACTCCACATTCCGAACCAGTCCAATGCCGCAGCGGAAGGCCCGGGCCCACCACACTCCTCGGGAAGGCTGTGTTCCAGACAAGTCTGATTTGAGCCTGTCTCCTCCAATCACCACCAAAGCCTGGTCAGGCTCCCTCCGCCTCTCTCTACCTGGAACCTCAGACTCCACTATCAGTTGACGCAGCAAGTCCTCAGAAAGGGGTGGAGGCAGCCCTGCTGCCCGTACTTTCCGAAGCTCTCTGGTGGACATGCGGCCAAAGCGGACACATTGAAGCAGGGCCTTGGCTTCTGACTCCTGCGTCTCGGGGTTGGCAGCTAGCCAACACCGGGCAGCCACAAAGGCCTCAAATTCCTCTTGCACGTGTAGCTCATCACTGTCCAGGAGTTTGGCCAGGCAAGCAGCTGGTAAAGAAGGGAAAGTGGGGCAGGAAGCTACAGCAGGCAGGTGAGTGAGCAGGTATTGATGAGCTTTGCTCCAGAGCCTCTCTAGTCCAGGGGCTTCAGCCATGGGGAAGAGGGCCAGGCAACGGGCAGGGCTGAGGCTCTGTCCCAAGGCTCTCTGGCACAGATCCAGACAGGAAGAACTCTGGTACTGCAGAGCAGCCTGGGCAGCCCTCAGCAGTCCTGGCCATCTTGCCTGCACAACCCCAGAGTAGGCAAAAGAGACAAGGAGTCGCAGGTCCTGGGCAGAGATGGTTTGCAGAGACACCTCTGTGCCCTGGGATTCCTTCATCCCACTCAGGAGCATGGCCCCAAAGAACTCGCTGCCGCAGGCCAGGGCTGCTCGGTGCACTGAAAGAGGGAGAAGAAGCAAAGGGGTATCCAAAGTTTTGCAAACTGCAAAGCACTATCCCAACTTCACAGCCCCAACTTTGAACCAAGCACCCAAGGCCACAGGCCAAACTGTGGTGTGCAACAGAATACCATGAGGTGCTTGTTTAAATGAAGATTTCAGGAACCCATCCCTGAAAGATGGAGATGCTGATTCAGTATGTCTGAATGGCGTTCTCAGGATTTTGTATTTTAACATTCTCAAGTGTGCTGCATCTCATGTTAGTGGCCTGAAGACACTTTGATAAAATTTCTTTAGTTTTTTTGATTAAGGTCAATTAGAAAAAGATGGGTCAAGTGACTCAACTAGATGGGTCAAGTTGAGAAGATGCTATAGACTGCATTTGCTAAAAAGGGACACAAAATAGACCCTGGCCAGGTAGCCCAGTTGGTTAGAGCATCATTCCAATGAGCCAAGGGTGCAGGTTCAATCCTCCATCAGGGCACGTGCAAGAATCAACTGACAAATGCACAGGTAGGTGGAACAACATATTGATGTTTCCCTCTCTTTCTTTATGTCTCTCCCTCCTTTTCTCTCTTTGAAAGATCAATAAATTGAAAAAGAGGGGGCACAAAATAGACTGCAAAGACCGATGTGCGGCTTACATAGGTCTCTCTATACTATGCACAGAATAAAATTCTTTCTTTTACAATTGTAAGAGCCACCAACATCAGACATTCTGTTAGTCATAACACTTCACTCAGTGTTATGACACTCAGGAATAGTTACGTGCCAACTTACTTGGACTGCCATCTCCTCTTGCCCAAGATTTAGTGCTTAAGATTTCCCATGTGTTCCAGCTTTTCTCTGCACACCCCCACTTGGCATCTTGGTATAGTTTATGGAATCAGGATATTTTAAACTGGAAACCTTCCAAATCATCTAGTTCAATTAGTCTTTTCAAGACTAGAAAACTGCATCCTAGGAAAAAGAAGTGATTTATTTTCTACCGAAGTGGCTCTCCGGGCAGATCCTCGCCATCCACTGTCTCTGATGTCAGGCTGCTCTGAGCACATTTGTGTACTGGTACCCTGCTTTGCTGCATGGCCCTCAGGTGCTGTAACTGTCCTGTTAACAAATGCTGCTCAACAACTAGCTCTCATATGCTTTCTAACGTAATTCAACTCGAGGTGCTTGGCATCACCTATGGAGTACTCTGACCAAAATATTTAACCTAAATCTAATCAAGACTTTAGCTCTAAATTGAGCAAAACAAAATGGGGTTCTAGGGAATTTTTTCTGGCAGGACGTACATCTGCCATATATCTGAGTATAACACAGTCCTTGATTGGCTCCTGGGTTGAGCAAACCAGTTCTAAAAGCCATTCTTTGGACAAGCTGGAAAATTTCAGTGTTGACTAGGTGATATCAAGGAATTATTGTTCATTTTGTTAGACATGATTACGATACTGTAGTTATATGAGAAAACTGTCCTCTTTTAAAGAGAAACACACCCAAGTATTTTATCAGTGAGATGTCACAGATTTACAATTAAATTTAAATGTTAATTGTTAAGTGTGGGTGATGGGTGTTTGGGTTTTCATCTTAATATTCTCTTCACGTTACTTTGTGTTTGAAATGCTTCATAACAAAAAAAGAGGGGAATGCTGCCAGAAGTCCCCTCAGGCAGGTGACACAGGGCCAGCTCCCAGCTCCCAGGGGGGCTCATGAGCCCCAGGCTGCTTTGACCGATTGTGGCTTGTTCGTCTCTCTCCAAGGGGAGGTGATGTGGACATGGCTTCCCATCGCCTTTTTTAAGCAGATGTAGTGGCTCCCCATCATCAATGGGGAGTGGTAAACATCAATGACAGCTTTCAAATATAATATACTGCCTGCGAAAATCTGCCTTCCCTGACGCAGATAAACCATCTCATTTTCTATACCATAGGTTAGCTTCTAGCTCAGAGCCAACTGTGAGAGTGCACAACCATTTGTATTCCTCCTCTTATTCATCATCAGCCTCTCGAACTTTAAATGACAAGTTCCCATCCTTAAGTTGGAATGTGTCTTAGAAAAATGAAAAGTGTTTGAATTCTAAACCCTAGAAGGAATTTTATAACTCTAAAATTTACATTCTCCCTCCATCGACTCTATCTAGTATTATCAGAAATGATAACAAACACATTAGAGATTTGCTGTGGACTGAAGGTTTGTGTCCCCAGCCCCAAAACTTATTTGTTGAAGTCCTAATTCCCAATGTCATGATATTTGTAGGTGGGGCCTTTGGGAGGCAATGAGGTATGAGTACAACCCATCTCTATCTCTGTCTCTCTCTCTCTACCACCCCCACATGAAAACGCAGTGAGGAAGTGGCTCTCTTCAAATAGTAAAGGGGTCCTAACCTGAACCTGACTATCCTAGAATCCTGATCTTGGTCTTCCAGGCTCCAGAACTGTAAGAAATAAATTTATGTTATGTTGTTAAACCACCCGATCTATGGGGGGTTTGTTATTGTTGTTATTTTTGTTGTAGCAACCCAAACTAAACAGGATGCTTTTCCTCCTGGGAGTCCCAGAAGCACTTTGGGTCCCAGTCATTCCTCTAATGAGCAGTAGCTATGTATATGATTTTGGTCACATCTTAAAGTCTGATTTCTTTATCGGTTACATATAGGAACTGACCTAGATAATCTCTAAACTAATCTTTTTTATTTTAAGTATTTTGTGTCTGCATTCCAATTCCACTTGCAGTTCCCACATGCCTTCGGTTTGGCTGCATAGGAAGCAATGTGTGGCCTAGTGAGAGTAAGCTGGGCTAGTGGATACAGACTTGTATCCTGGGTCTCATCGGTTAACGTCTCTTAGTCTAATGTTCTTTATCTGCATCTAGGAATAATGGTACCCACCTCACCACTTTTCAATGAGAATTAAAAGCGATGGCATATGTAACAATTCATGGTACCCAGTACCTCACTAAATAAAGTTAGTATAATCTGAACTCAAGCTTCTTCAACCCTCCTTAGCTTTCCTGATGATGAGCAGAATTCACTTCAAAGTGCCATGGCCTGGAAGCCTTAAGATTCTGGCACAACAGTACCAGACCTTGCTCATTAGCTGTGGGATCACAGCAGCCATGGTGTCAAGCACACTTAGGTGAAAGGATGCACTGAGTTTTTCCGCCATGTCCCTCTGCCTTATCCTGTGTCCTAAATAGATGATGCCAAGAAGAGCCCTTGGTTAATCCCTGTTTGAGTCAATCACTTTCTGCTTATCCTACTGGCAGGGGCTGCACTTTGGCTCCAGCTGGCTGGCTGCTACTCGTTGTTGGTACTGGGCCCGGTAAAAGCCACAACCGGGAGGGTCAGGTTAAATTTATCAGGGCTCCTAGGAAAACAATGCAACTGCGCATGCCCCACTGTCAGTGGCTCAGGGGAAGCACCAAAGGCCCCCCAGGGAAATTGGGCCTGCAGCAGGAATCAAAACCACTGTGGTAGGGATCACCTGCGGCTTGCACACACTATTTGGGTAGCGTCTGCACCTGCAGTAATGTAATGTCCCACAGGCCCTCACCCCGCAGCCGGCAGCCGCCTGCCTCCAGCTCCAGGTCACAACCGACGCCCTCCTGGTATAAAAGTTCAATGCTGCGCAGGTTCTCCCTCAGCTCCTCCGCCTGGCTGGGCTGTTTTTCGTCGTCCAGGGCGCTTCCAGCCCTCTCGAATTTCCGCTGGGCCGCCGCCTTCACCCGGGGCGCCCCCAGGGCGTCTGCGGCGACCAGCAGGTCCTGCAGCGGGGCGGCACTCGGCAGCGCGCCCTGGTAGGCGAAGGTCAGCACGGCCTCCCAGGCGCGGGGGGCCACGTCGAGGCTGAGGGGGCCTCGCGGACCCGCGCCGCCCAGCAGCCGGCCGCGGAAGAGGCTGCTGACCGCGGCCAGGATCACGCGATGCGCCCCGTACACTCTCCCCCCGACCGACACCTCTTCGTCCAGCAGCAGCCTCTGCTCCCGCAGCCGCTGTGCCTCCGCGAAAAACTGGCCCGGGTGCTCCTCGCTGCGCAGCCCCTGCGGCCCCGCGGCGTCCCCTTCGTCCTCATCTTCTCCCTCCTCCTCCAGGGACAGGGCCCTGGGGCCAGGTTCCCCCAGAGGAAAGGGGGGCGAACCGGGGTCCTCGTCCGGGGTCCAGGCGCCGTTCCTCCGGCCGGGTGAACCGGCGTCCGCGCGGCCCTTCGGGACCCGCAGGGAGACGCGCCGCGCGTCCGAGCGACGGTGTCCGGGGTCGGAGACGCTCATGGCCCAGGGTCGGGGGACTGCTGCGGGGGACGGAGAAGGAGACCAGGGGTCAGAGCTGAGTCCAGAGGCGTCGGAGGAGCCCCTGCCTGCGGCCCGGCGGCGGGTCGGTCTCCCCCCTACTTCAAAGGATCCCAACCACCGCCCGCCCGCCCCTCGCCCCTTCCCCCAGCCCGCCCTCCACCCCGAGGCCAGGCGGCCGGTCCACACCGCGCGACTCTGGGCTCCACCGGGTGCAGCGGAGCGAGCACGAAGCGTGTGCGGAGCTCCAGTAGCCGCGGCCCGAGCCCAGTTCCCACCCTCCCGAGACCCCAGCGTTCCACTTGCCCTCTAACTGGAGCTTGCTCTGCTTCGGGCCGCCTGCCCCTCGGCAGCCGCGCCCGCTAATTATAGCCGGCGCTGGCAGGCTTGGGCCTGGGCCCCGGCCCAAGATGACCTCCTACCGGCCTCCACCTGTAGGTCACGTCCCGCTGCTGAGCGAGGCATATTCGGATGCCAGGGAGGATGCAGGATCGGATGGAGTGAGCCAGGGCAGAAAGGCTCCATTTATCCGACCGGGTTGGGGATGGGGGCGGGGTCTGGACTGCGCAGACCCGCGGAAACGTGGGGCGAGAGGGCTAAAGCCTTTGGGGTCATGCCTGAGCTTTGTTGATTTTCCTTGCACAGTAAAGCTGGGACCCTGGACGGAAGAGTATTGATGCAAAATGCAATGGTAACCCGCTGCGTCCCTCCAGGGTGGAGTGAATGGGGAAGGTGAGGGGGCTGGGGGCTGGGGTTTCCTCCGTATCCCGGGGTAGAGTAGGTGATGGGAGCGGAACCCAACCCTGCGTCTTCATAAGATATAGAGGACTCTACCCCTCACCTCGGTGTTCGGAGGACCAGACAGTTGGGAACATGGGTTTGATCTTTGCTGCTCAGGGGACCAAAGTCCTGGCCTGGATGGACTAGGGGCGCTCTAGAATTCTCTGTATGAGGCAGGACACCAACGTTCACTCCCTTGGCTAGGACAACACTCGCTCCTCATCCTGAGAACTCTAAATCCATGCAGTTGCAGGTATCCTCATAAAGAAGGAGTTTAGAAAAGGGGGCAGTGATCACCTTTCCCTCCCTTCTACTGCAGAGGCAGGTCAGGCCAACAAGGGCTGCTGGGGCTCACTTCCCTGGCCAGTGGCATAAAGGCTGCTCCAGGCTGAATAGTTCACCTAACAAACTGATTTAACCAGGGAGTGAAGCCAAGTTGTTCCTTAAGAATGAGGTGAGAGGGTTGGTGTTCGTGTGCAGGAGGGTCAGGAACATGGGTTGCTTTGGTCACAGCATCCTCTCCGGCTTTCAGAGATGTCACTGCTCTCCACTTGATACTTGGGTATGCTTGCCAATTAGGGGCTGAACTCCCCAAAATGGTTTGACAGAGAAAGGCAGCCAGCAGTTGTCCTGGCCAGAGAAAGGGGTGACACTGACCAGCCTGCATACCCTCTCCCCAAGTTCAGACGTTTCATGGCCTCTTCCCAGCAAGAGGAGGCCAGCACACCTTGAGCCTACGCCCAGGAAGAGGGGAAACCAGCAGGTGGAAACATATCAGAGGTTGGTCTCTGCTGCCTCCCCACCTCCACAAGGATGCTGGACTGCACTCTGAGTTCTATGCCAGCTTTTTGGTATGGGGACCGCAGCAGCTGCCCTGCCACAGTGAGGCATGTGCCCACAGCAAACACCAGAAGTTTAAAACTTTCTTGGATAAAGTTGGATAAATCTCTCTCTTTTGGGCCATCATCTACCCTCCAGTAAAGCCTTGGGACTAACACCCCCCACACTCACAGCACCTTCAAATCTATAGTCTTCTTCCTGGTTGCTGCTATGCTGATGTCTTGGCATCTCAGCCTCATCTGTGCTGTCTCAGTCAGGGGCTAGCCTGGCTTCCACCCCTGCAGAGAAGCCACACTCCCAAGATGATGGGAGAATTGGGGGCCAGGTCTGGCAAGGCCCAAGTGCACTTCTGCTGGGTCATGGGAGTCATAGCTCAGGATTCCTAAAGGCTGAGGATCTAGGCAGGACAGAGAACTTTGCTCCAGAATTCTCAGAGGATACCTCTTGGGAGGGAGGAGAGGGCTGAGGGAGACCTCAGTTTCTCCTTCACCATCCTGCTCCACCAGATCTACTGCATGCTCAGTATCTGGGGTGTCATCCTCTACCTGTGGCTGCCTTGGATCACTGCTCAGGTGGGCATAGGTATGAGCTCCAGGCTCTGCTGGGCAAAAGGAAGGGATTCCAGAACTCAGCATGAGTGAATCAAAGGGGCCCCATTCCCATCTCAACCCCAGTGCTCACAATGGCTCATTATCCTGTTCTCAGCTTCTGTCACTATCACCAACCTATCTATCTCAGCCATGTCCACCAATGGCAAAGTCAAGGCTGATGACTTGACAGTTATCTCAGGGCCCCCAGTCTTGCAAGGAATTACTGAAACCACAGACTGACTCCTGATCGGATGGCACCTACTTCCTCAACCCATAGAGCTTGGATTCTGGGCTTGACGGTTCCATCAGGGTCATCTTCGCTTTAACCAACACAGTAGCCATGGCTTTGCACACAGTGGACCTTGGGGACACCCTTCTGTACCTTCGCGGGATACTGCCTCCCTTGGTGTGTCCTTTTCTCAGGCCAGCTAACCACCCAGCATGCACTCTTTGTGACTCCAGCCTGAACAACTTGTTTTAAGAATCAGCTGGAGGCATCAAATCACTCAGTTAAGTCTCCATCTTCCCTGCCTCTGTGTTCTGGCCTTCTAGGAGCATGGGGTGCAGCTGTGGTAAAGGGATCTCGGAAATGAGTTGTGGCTGGTGGGTGTGACTTTTCACAACTGAAAACAGTTGTGACTGTTTTTCTGAGAGTGGGGGTCTTAGGCAGGCGCCAGCAATTGAAGTAGGGGATGAGGAGACTGAGGAAATGACTGTGAGAACTGGATGGATTCGGGAGGGGCCAAATGTGGGGTGTGTGTGTGTGTGTGTGTGTGTGTGTGTGTGTGTGTATAGCTGGCAGAGCAGATTTCCAGGGACCCAGAGCAGAAACCAGATGTTTTTCCTAGGAGAAATGCCAAGTGTCAGCTCTTCAAGGGAATAGTAAGGAGGATTCGTTCTGAGGGTCTCTTGGGATGAGCACTAGGTAAAAGTACAAGATGGGAAATTCTGTTTCTTGTTCCCAGATACTTACAATCTTGAGATTTGCCCCTCTGGATTGGGAAGGGACACTGCGGTGTGAGGCAAGAAGGAACAGAACTCCATTTAGCCACATTCTTTTATGGAAAAAGCTGGTGGAAAAGGCAACTAGAGCATTGGGGAGGAGTGAAGATGAGACAGCATGTGGAGCAGTACTCCTTCCTTTCCACTCACATCTCTCTCTCTCTCATCACCCATGGTATTCCAGGTCCAAACTATCTTCTTCAGTGTCCTCTATCAGCTACCAGTTTGGGACACTGCTCCCCACAAACCCCAGCAGACAAGCCACTGACTGCTTTGAGTTCCTAGATGACATAGTGGAAGGACGGCTGAGAAATGAGTAATGCGTTAAAGGGAATGAATGCCTCAAAATATCACCCCCTTAGAGCAGGGGACCTCATTAGTGTAAACCTCCTCAGAAAGACCACTTGACTTCTGATTCTGTATGTCATTTGTAAATTGACCATCAAACCACTCAGAGTGTCCTATTAAGTCCCTGGGCTGGCTCATTTGCAAAATTCCTTTACTCTTCCCAGTCTCACCTAAGTTACTAACATGTCAACGGGCTAAATGTCTGCAAGATTCATTGTCTAGAGTCATAGCTAAGCCCTGACTATGATCTGGGGTGCAGAGCCTTATTCGGGTCAGCCTGAAACACTATCCCTTCTTGGCACTCTGTGCCCAAAGTACTCTATCTCCTTTCCTCATTGCTCTCCTTTCAGGTCACAGTTTTGGGCCCACTGAAGACCACTGTACTGGACTTGGAATATAAGCACAACTGCAGGAGGTGCTGATATTTGCTGTGGAGGATTATGTTGGCATTATATAATAAGTGGAGGGCAGAGGGGGTAGGGAGGTGAAGATGGTCAGAAACCAGGGGAAGAGAAAATGTAACCATGGTGAAGCCCTGTTTCCTCCAGCTGCCCAGCAGAACCTATGCTCCTAGGAAGGGGAGCTCCCCTCTCTTCAGCTCTTGCTTAATCTTTTTTCCCCCATAAAGAACTTTGACTACAATTATGATATGTGCCTCTTAAGGATGCCATGGGAGTTAAGCCTGGCTATCCCTGGTTGGTCCAAAGAGAAGGATAAGGTGTAAAGGTACAGAAGTTGGCTGTCAGGCCTGGATGGTGTTGCTCAGTGGTTTGAGTGCTGGCTGCAAACCAAAGGGTCGCCAGTTCAATTCCCAGTCAGGACACATGCCTGGGTTGCAGGACAGGACCCTAGGAGGGGGCACATGAGAGGCAACCACACAATGATGTTTCTCTTTCTCTCTCCCTCCCTTCTGTTGTCTAAAAATAAATAAATAAAATATTTTAAAAAATAAAAGAAATTGGCTGTCAAAGACAGCCACAGGAAGTAAGTGAACTTAGTTACCAATAGTTGAATTAGGTACCACAATGTAAGAAATGTGAATTTTTCTTTGAAGATCCTGTTAAGTTCTCCTGAAACCTTAGGGAGGTGAGGGAAAATCTTTAGTTATCTTCTAAATAAATTCTGGTGGCAGAAATGTGAAAGAAGAGACACAAAACAGCAGGATAAGGGTGAGATGGAGCTTGGTCAGGAATGGTTATGGCCCAATTCCAGAGCAGAGTTATGGAGCTATTTCAGTTTTAATAATAGCACACCTCTAACTAGCATATGCTTGGGATGTCCTCACTGACTGGGTGGGCTCAACCAAGGATGCAACAGGACAGCATTCTTTTGTGTTATGCCCTACCAATTCCAGTTAATCCAAGGTTTTTGCATATCGCAGGAATGGATTCTCAGAAGGGAGGGGAGACCGGCTCTAAAACAGGTCCTATTTTAGGGGAAACAAATTTGGGGGATGTGGGATAGAAGAGCAAGGCACCCTGTAAAGTGACATGTGCAGCATACTCTCTGCTCCTTGCTAAATCTGGGGTTTCCTTTCTCTGCAGCCAAAAGGCTTTTGAAGACTTGGTGGCCTTATACTGGCTCTAGAAGTCACCACCAAAGGGAGACCGGAATCTACCTCCATCAGCACTCTGGTTCCTTCAGGATGTATCTCTGAGCAGGATCTGTGGACAAAACAAAAGCAGGTATACAGGAACAGGGCCAGCAAGTGGGGCAATTGTCGCAGAGTAGGGACTGACAATGGCACTTACCTTGTCCTCTGTGCTTGTTCTTCCTAGCCATGTAGTTGGAGGGGGACATGTGTCTTTATGAAGTCCTATAACGGTGTTCCCTTAGGATCCTGCCCTCAGTCATG